TGTGGATATAAAAAAGAGGGAGAGTCCGAGAAAAAGAGAAGGGAGGATAGAGGGAGACGGATAGAGGAAGACAGAGCTTAGTCAGCCGCTGCCCTTAAGAGCTGGAGTCTCTGAGGAACCGTGCATCCGTCTCCAACGCAACCAGAGCAGGGAAACCAACTCTCCTGTCCTCAAAGAGTTTTATCATGCTTCACCGAGGTGAACGAGGCTGGGAGCGAATCACGACGCAAATAGACTAAAGTAAACAGGCCGACAGACAGACAGACTGACTGACTGATAGGTAAGGTTTCTAGTTTTTAGTCCTAGCTTCTCCAGAGTCTCTGTGACGGCTCAGTTAAGACACGCCACGTGTAAACAAATGCATTGCAGTGGTGGAAGGATGCAGATAAAGCAGGGTTAACATGAGATCATGTTGAAATGTGGGTCCTCTGTGCTCTACATAGCAATTAGGGAGAGATGGAGAGACAAAGAGAAAAGAGGGAGCGAGAGATCATACAAGGGGTTCATGAGGGTGTGTTTGTGTCTGCGTGCATCAGAAGGGTGAGCAGGTTCAACAGGTCCCATGTTGGGAGGCTTGCGAGTGTTCAGGTGCTAGAATCCTATATCGGAGCCAGTGCTGACCATGGGTCTATATCAAGAGCTGGATAGGGTTTCAGCCCCAGGCGGTGATGGAGGATTATTCTGACAAAGACGGGTTCTGGCCAGCCTGAAATAACTGATCCAAAGTTGCTCTGACTTTCGCACACTAATGAAGAACAGAGGGAGGAGAGGGAAAGGCCGAAGGGAGATGCACCTCCTGCCCCCGAGATTTCCTTCCTGTCAGGAAGTTAAAAGAAGTGCTGTGAAACAGGAGAGTGTGTCAGGGGAGCATTCTGGGAAGCAGTGGAGAAAAAGAAAATGTCAGCACGCCAGATTATGCAGCTCCGTGCCCAGGCCTCGCATACCTGATCCTTGTACACCAGGGCGAACTGTGGCACACGGATGCATAACCCATCAGTTATAGAAAGAAATCTTCTATGCACAGGCTGATGTGAGCATTCTGGCCTCTTTAATAATGAATGAAGAGAATAATGATTGGTGCCATGACACTTCCCCTAGGGAGAACACTGTAATGAACAGGCTGTCCCGAGTGTCTGGCCTGCAGCTATAAGTGAACCTGCAGCTATGCCAAGTAACCCTAAATCTTGAGTTAATTCATCAGCACAAAGCTGTCAAAGCTCAGGCAACAGTTTCCAATTTCAGACTCCTCTTTCAAATAGCCTGTGTGTGTGTGTGTGTGTGTGCGTGTGTGCGTGTGTGTGTGTGTGTGTGTGTGTGTGTGTGTGTGTGTGTGTGTGTGTGTGTGTGTGTGTGTGTGTCTAGGTGCATATTATATGTATTTGTGTGTGTGTGTACATGTGCATATGTGTTTCAAAAGGTGTACCTTGTGTGTACATACGGGATCCATGCCATGAAGACATGTGATGTGCTTCTCTTACATAACTTGTGAATACACACAACAGTGAAGTGTAGACTACTCATAATGACAGTGTCACATACATGGAGAGTTAGGAATCTTATAAAGTATCCTTTTAGTGCATTATTTAATCAAATTTACACTGTAAATCAAGGAATTTAGTATCCATAAACCTACAGGCAGGCGCCCTTAAATCAGTTATTGCTCGATTGTTGGATTACAGATGTAACATAATGTTTTTGACAGCATATTTCATACTTACATAAACTTATCAGGTCATGCCAAGTTATGTCTACATAATGAATATTATTTGATGGATGAAACAAGCTCTGTATTGTTATCAAAGACCTCTTTGTATAGAGCAGATTATTAAACATGCAGTATTTCAGGAACATTTTTTCACAATCTCTCTTCTTGACAGTCAACTCAACAATCATACATAACATTTTTGAAGCGAAAGGTTATGAAAGGAGCAGTCCACCATTTTCACAACTGCTGATGGTGTCGTCAAGGTTAGTTTGAATTAGGCTTACAGACGAGTTGCATTGGGGAATTTTAAGATCCCCAGTTTTTGGAGACTAAAAGTCAGAATATCTTTGCATCAATTTTTAAATTTGATGCTTGTGAGTCTGTGAACTTGATGGAAGTTCAGCGCTAAATCGCTGAACCCCTTCAAAATAAAACAAGGTCAAGATTACATTTTACTAAATATACATATACATTAGCCTCATTTAAATTAGCAGAAAACAACTGTCATTGCGTCATCATATGTCCCGGTCTCAATAGACACTTCAGTAGTAAATGTTACATGGATGTCAGATAAAACAAAAATTAAGAAACTTAATTTGGGTTAAGACTCAGATTATCACTGGTGCCTGTTCTTTATGTCACTTTGACAGTATTGTGTGGATTTCCAATTACACCACATTTTTAAAGCCTTCTTATAATGTGGCACTATTTTAGACAAACATACATATAAGATTCACATATTCAAATTATTACAGCAATATTGCTTCTTGTTTCATGGCATTTAAAAAGAAACCCTCACTTTTTAAATGATCGAGCAGTCAAGAGGAAGTGAGCAGAGTGAAGTGTGTTCCCATAGGTGGAAGTGGAGTTGAGGAGCCTCTTCTTGGCCTCTCCATCCTACACAAGACTACTGTTTACTGTGGAAGCAAAGTATTCTGTTTGTTCTGTGAATTCTCTAAACATTTTCTTGTCCACTAATGATAATAATAAAATGATAATAGCTGATCTGAAGGCCTTTGAGGAAGCCAATGTGATTAAGGTCAACCATATACACATAAACAGAAGCTGAGTTCATCGCTTATCTGACAGCAAAAGAAAACAAAGCATATATGCGTCGCTGAGAAATTATGTTTGCAGACATTTTCCACATTTTTCAGATACAGCTTGGTCTACAGTTCTCTACCGTGTTCTTGCCCTACATACTAAGGCATTTCAACAATGGATTCTTTAAACCATCAAGGCAGTGAAGTGTGATCAACACATGTCCCTGAGAGTATCTTCACATCCGTGTCACCATTTGAATGAGATTGAGGTGTTTGGACTGTTTTCTAGGAGGACAATTCAATCGTCTGACAAATGGTCAATGATTATACAGTGCCCTACTTTTGAACACATACAAATAATAACTTTGATTATGTGACTCACACTGTATTGTTATGTGTGGCAAACCCTATTCATCTGCTTCTTGCAGGTTTGAAAACACTTTCATTGCAAATACTCAGTTGAGCACTGCTATCATTCAGTGCAAGGAGTTGGTTCTGATAAAACCTTTGATTGGTCTGCCATCTAGTGGTCACATGAAGTGCTGCATTTCAGTTCCAGATGGACCACAGTCAAAGAGTTTAAGAATTACACTTAGAAGCAGAGAACGTTTAAATGAAATCAGAGTAAACAACACAGAATATCAGAAGTAAAACCCTCTATGTTTTTATGGTTAAAATGATATTGTATAATTGAATGTAACTCTGATAGTCCTCTTACAAAGGCTAATTTAAATATGAATTAGAAAATGTAAAAAATAAGGTGCTATGATGTTGTTGGAGTCAGGGTATTTATTCACTGTCAACGGTTCATTTTTATGCTAGATAATTAAATCGGTTGATTTCATACACAACCTAACGTTAAATGACAAACATATGAATTAAGCTGAATGTTGTTGGCCTGTGACAAAGTGAACTGCCAAATGAAAAATGTTTGATTCATATCTGATGCTCAAGAAATGTACTGCCAGGTGTAAGTTTTGGCTTCAAAATCTAACTTTTGAGCAAGCATCATAAACATTACCATAGTCAATTAGATATACATTTATGTTTCTCTAGATATTTTGTTTATTAATATTTATAAACAGACATTTCATTTCAATGATGAAGTTAATATAAAGTGATGGTATGCTTAAAGGCTACATTACTAAAAGATCGCTTTGTTGATGGGACAATGTTGAGGCCGTTTAGGCTTTCTATCTGAGGCAGCACTTGCGTTAAAGTACCATGATTGAATTAAATCGTTTGCTGAAGGTCAGGGCCTAAGATACTCATGTCATGCCGCTGTTGTTTTCCTGCTGATATGAGTGGTGTGAACACCCTTGGGGAAGTTTGCATTCTAAAAAAAATCTTTAAAAGATGTGGCATGTGTTGCAATGTCAAAATATATATACAAGGAATTCAGGGATTTTATTCTATTTGCGAAATTGGAATTGAAGCAGTTTTTTCCCACACTTCTACCTTTATGTTGGAGAGTAAAAAAGAGAGTTTGAGGGTGGCAGGGGTACATATATGAAAAACTGTACAGCACATTCACAATATTAATGCTTTTACCATGTTTTGAGGCCAGTATTTGCGTTGACTTTTGGAGAGTCTTACATACTGTGCTGTCAGCAAATAAAGCCGCAAAACAAAAGAGTAAAATAGCCAATCAAATATAGGCTTAGATGAGTGAATTCAGTTTGAATTAGGAAAAGCAGGCTGGAAAACACACCAGAGCTCTCTAACCTTGAGCTGAGCTTTGGGACTCTAGTCTGAGATTATGGGTCTATTTCTGTCTGTCTCTCTTTTACTATCAAAACATTGCCAAGTGGGTCTCTTCAGAGGAACAAAAGGTAACCTGGCTGACCCGTGTGGGGAATTTAATGTAATTCAAACACCAAGATAGAAATAAATAAATAAAAATGTGATAAGATAAAATAAAATAAAATAATCTTTCAAGCAGCGGGGAAATTCACAGGCTTACAGCAGCATACAGTAGCCTATAGTGCAAACAAGAGACATAGTAAAAAAAAAAGCAAGTATTATAAATAAGTAATAAAACAGTAAAGAAAATTTAAAAAGTAAAAAAAAATACACAATAACTAATATGGTTACTTGTGGCTGAATTGCAGCAATCAGGTCATAACTTTTATCTTGTATCTAGCCCTGTCTTGTGTCTCCTTTCCTTGTGCTCTACAGTCTGTCTGCCACTCTCTTATATAAACACTCCGTCGCTTCCTTTTCGTACTTCTCCTTTAAGCGCAGAAGAAGAAAAAAGCCCCGGCCATGACGTCAGCAGTAAAACCTGCTCCGGCTGTGTGTCTGTCCGTCTGAAAGTGAAGTGTGTTTGGCGTGCTACTGGTGTCGGACTTTTACCCCGCTGTTGTCTTGTCTTCCGTTGAGTGTTATTGTTGGCTTTTTTTTTACAACTTCACTCGCGAGCTTTTTACGTTACTAATTTTGAAAACCCAGCCTCGTGGACGATTTATGGGACGTTTTTAAGAAAAGTTCCCGAAGTGCTTCTTTTGAGGAACCGGTGGAACGGCGGAAACCGCCAGAGATGGATAAGCTAACCGATAGCTGAGTTGTTAGCCGAGAATCACAGGTCAAGAATAGGATCAAGCTAGCATGCTAACAGCTAGCTAATCTAGCATTGTATCGGCTAACCTAAGTGACTTTGTAACGTCCGAACTTCTGCCGGTTATTTCTCGGGCCTGGCTGCTAGCGTTACACCGTGAACACTGTGTCAGAGGCCAGCTAACCCAGGAAGAAGACTCGGGTCTGCATTTTAAAGAAGAAAAGTGTTTTATAGAGAGGTGGCTGTTCCGTCTTCTCAGCCCAAACCACAAAGCATGCTGTCCAACGCACAGAACCAGCCACTGTTTCCCAACCCGTCGGGCCAGCAGAACTCCACGGGCCAGTTCCTTCCCTTCCACGTGAGACCCTCCTTACAGATCAAGAAGAATGCCATAACAGACGACTACAAGGTGACCAGCCAGGTGTTGGGGCTGGGCATCAATGGCAAGGTGCTGGAAATCTTCCAGAAGAAGACTGGAGACAAGTATGCGCTGAAGGTAAGTCATACTTTGGGGGGGAAAGAAACTTGTCCAGAAGAGGAAGAATGTTAAATCTGAGGCACAGCCAGGAGATCTGAATACCTTTAGAAGAAACAGCTTTTAAATAGTCTTTCTACTGGAAGTGTTGTGTTCAAATGTGGATTTTATTCAAACTATTCCAACTCAGGTTCACACAAATATAACAGAAACAAATACCTGGAAGGATTAGTCTTTTCATTGATTGACAGAAGATTTATCAGCAACAATTTTGATCGATAAAATGGCAAAACAGTCAACTTGCCTCTTTCAATGTGAATATTTGGTAGTTTTTCAATTGAATGACATTTTGTGTACTGTTGGTCGCACACAACTGGCAACCTGAAGATATCACCAACAGTTCCTGGAAAATGTGATTTGAAAATTATTTACGTTTTATAGATGACTGTTAAATAGATTAGCTGACAAAATAATTTGCAGATACGGTTTGTTTTTATGGCCTTGTGAGGGTCGTGATACTATTGTTCTATCCATCTTATACATTGTTATCACTGGCCATCATTACTCTACCTAAAAATCACCCAGATGTTTACGGATCAGTTATTAGGTGATCTGTGATTGAAGTACCTCATATAGAATAAAGGGGTTTCTCATTTTTTTTTAGGTGGAGACAAAGATACTGGTGTATTTTATATGTGAACAACTAATTCATTTATAACGGGTACCCTGTGATGTGCTGCCCCTTAACATGTGTTAGTTGTTGTGAACAGTGGAGTCCAGAGCACATTGCTGGACAGGCTATATGATAAACGACACAATTTCTCAACCCGTGCAATTGTTATTGTTTTGTGAATCATCCACCATTTAGTGTGTTGAGATAACACCGTGATAAACATATATTTGTTGGTAGTTTCCGCCCTCTGATTGTTCTCTGGATTTAAACTGTAAATTAGAAAAACCTCAGGGCTGGCTGTAAAGTGACTCTGCGTTGTTAGGTTCTAGAGATCACGTTCTGTATCGGTCAATGATTGATAAAGGACAAACGTCACAACGGCTTTCCACACACGGGGGACTGAAACAAGACCCACTGAAGCTATTTATTACTGCAGGCCAATTCAGTTGTTTATTGTTAGAAGGGATCGTAGTGTAAAACTTTTCCGAAAATGTTTTGCACAAAATTAATCACAGCCTGGGAACATCCTGTGTGGTGATTCAAACGGTCTCAATAATCGGGTCACAGCGTTTTACACTAGTGTGTGTGTACATTAAACATGACGCACACACACGATCTTGCTCAAACCTGTTAGATGTCATGTCGTGGTGTGTTGTATGTTGTTTGTTTTAAGCCTGTAAGTTACAGTTGGTGAAGATGTTTATTAATTGAGACAGTATGTTATAGTTTGGGTAATGCACCTGAATAGAGCTTTTGTCGTTGCCCTCCAACCAAAGTTTGGTACAGTTCACTGAATTGTTAGCGACTGTAAGCGCCCAGACATTGAATGACGCAACAGTGAGCCTGAGGATCTTTATCAAGTACGCAATTAAACATCCAGACACGTCTCTCAAAATCCTTTGCAGCTCGCCACAAAACCTAAAATCTTTCCTCATATTCAGCTCAAATGACGGGACTCGCTGAGGCCACATTAGAACATAGTAAAACCTTTCTAAATTTTTCACAGTCATCCACCTGTTTCCTAATAACACAGTGAGCGATCACTGACAGCACAGTCACTAAATAGTTGAGATGTTGTCTCTTGCTGCTTGGTCACTGTTTTAAAGTGACATAACGATCCACACTGACAACATACCATTATCAAATCCTTATTAGGGGCTTATCTGATTGGACTGCACGATTATGGCCAAAATTATTTGTAATTAATAATCACAACTGTTCATTGATTTAAGGGATAACATATTATTTATTGCACTTTCACAGTAAATTAACAGAGTAGAGACATTGCGATATATATATATTATTTCTGCAATATAAATCTTGCGATATGAATAAATGCAGGCATTTTCACCCAACATTTTGCATGTTGAGAGCAGCTGTAGGGTGCATGTGCAGCGGCATGGCTGCTCCCCAAAAGTGAAGCCAAAACCTCTCGTTTGCCGGCTGGTTAGTTTAGGCCCTTGGTATGATATGCAGCTTAGTTTTCTATGAGCGGAGCACACATTTTAAACGTCAATATCTCCTTTTGATTATGTTCATTTCATTGTGGGAAGCCCAAATCGTGATCACGATTAATATTCCATAAAGTGTGCAACCCTACTACCTGAATAGGTCGACCATGACCCTCCTCTCAACCTGGATGGGACGTGGGGTTGACGCTACCGTGCTACGCTGATAATTCTAGGATACCAAAGTTTAAACGGCATTGACTGAAAAGAGAGAAATTAATATAGGACAAGAGAGTGCACATGTGGGCGATGTAATGGTTTTATGGTAGTAATATCTCGGCCAAATTATCACAGTACACTATAAGGATTTGAATTAAAACACATGTACAGAGTTTCAGTGGCATTATTTCCTCAACTGATAGAATCACCAGTGGGTTCACCGCTGTACACAGAACATCTGGAAAATGTGGTACAACTAAAAATCGGAAAACAGCTGTGATTTCAAAATAAAGCTCAGATTGTTACAGCAAAAGTAGGTGCCAACTGGTACAAAAATATAAATATTCATTGTTGATATAAACCATTGTGTCACTATTGTAGAGCAAAGTTGTGTACTCAGTATTTGTGCAACTGAATATGTAGTCTTGACTATCTTACCATACATATTCATCTTAGTTTTAGGTATAAGCCAGAATTAGATGTTGAGGATGAGTTTATATAACTACGGTATTACGAGTTGACATTGCAAGAGCAAAATAGTTTTTAATTTCTACTCGCAGGAGAGCAGTGCGGCTCAACTGCTATTCTCAGTCATTCTCTAGTGTGCTTCTATATAACTGTTCCCTGTGCTTTGGGAAAAGCGAATTAGAAATGTATTAAAAGTGAACGCTTAGCTGAAGTAGAAAAGATGCTATAAAAACAACACAAATCCCATCTTGAGAGGGAAGCAGCAGCCACAATGTGTTACATCTACACGAGAGTTACTAGAAACTTTGTGCACTAATTGGTTAACAACACAACTCCACAAAATAATGTTGGTGGTAAAAATGTGTTTGAGCTTCTGTCGTCTGTGAGCTCCCTGTCTAATATGTAATATGCTAGATTCACTAATATCTTCTCATGCTGTTTTAAGACGGACTTTAACCAACACGATTGATGCCTCCACTCAATGAGCTGATGTCCTTGTTCTTTTTACTGATGTTTGCTGAGTCAGCTCATCTATTGAATTCATTAGGTTCGCAATAGACACCAGGATCAGCAATCAGCCACACTGGCTTAAGGTGACATCACCTTGTACAACTTTTACCTGTCTCTTGAACCACGTTTTGTGCACACGGTGCAGCGGAATCATTTGTAACTCTGACACTAAGTGTTTGTTGGAGAGAGACTGTGGAAGAGAATCGGAGACCCTAAAGTCTTGGAAATCCTAAAAATGCACTTTTCTAAAACTTGTAACGCATTATGACCTGTCGCAGAGAATCGATACCTTTTGACTTTGTTTGTTTTGTTCGAGACAAAGCTGTTTGCCCTTCTGCGTTGATTGGTCTGTCTCTCTTAAGTACTGGTACTCCTCAATACAAATGTAAGGAGCACCAGCACAACATTTAGAAACACCACTTAATCAACATGCAATGCAACACATTTCATTTATTTTTTCTCTATTTTAAGTGCATCACTGATGCATGATTTTTTTACTAAAAAGAGAATTTCCAGAAATAATGTTTTATTTAAGTGCTTTAAGAGAAAAAAACATTAACCATAGAAACCCACAATGGCCCGTTTTTTTTGTCTTTTTAAATCGGGAATAAATATTCATTACGTAATTAATTTAAATCTATTGTGAAAGCTGAGAACATTGTGATCAAAGTATATAACGGCCATTCCGGTGCTCACTTGAGTTTCATAAGTCACAGAAACTGCACATAAACCCCCTTCGTGTCAATATACCAGAGGAAGCCACACCTCCTCTGAATGGACTCGGTCTGTCGTTTGTGGTTATAAAGTTTCATGAGGTTGTGATTATCGTAGAGGTTACAACAGGTCAACGGTGACGGTCTCAGTCTGTGAAATGCTACTATGAGGAGTAACATCATCACAGATGGACTCTTTGGATCCAGAAGAGTCTCAGCTTTTCAGTCATACAACATTTATGTAATTCCAACAGCCTCGCAAAGACGGTAATGTCGTCGGGTTAAGTGAAATAGTACTTTTTTTAAACATAGACACCAAATAATAAAATCAAATCATTGTGCAATCAAGTCTTATGGGCAACTCCTGATTGATTGAATTTTAACTGATTGAGCTGTGATTGTGGATTAGATAAAGTACAAAACAACTTGCTCAAGGTAAACATCTCTAAATCCACAATTATTTGAGCAGGGCTTGTAGCAAAGTGATGCCTTGACCTGATATGAATATTATGTTCCCACATTGTTTTTTGGTTAGAAAGACTGTCTGTGTCCGATGCAAGCACATCTCTAAAAGAGCAAAACAACCACGAGGACTATGTTTCTATTTCTAAATATAATAACTGCTGGGATTCAAGTCTCATTTTCATTTTCATGAGTGATAGCACACGGGTGTCTTTACTTCACATGTGTACTGTTGGCTTTATAAACTCTTAGTTCGATGTTTTAGTGAAGTTTTAGGTTTCTTATTTACAAGATGTAGAAGCTATCTGGTTACTTCAGAAATCTGACAATAACCAGCTTACAGTCCATTAAGACCAAGAGGTTGCAGGGATGGCCAACAAGAAGTTTTGAAAAACAAGTTATTGCCGTATCCAGAAAGAAACTCAGTGAAATGTGGTTACGGTGATGTAATCATAGACGGAATGACTAAATGTTTCGGCCACATTTTGTAAGCTGTTAAAGTTGCTCTTCCTGAAATTTTGAAATATG